CCTCGTTAGAACGAACTGCATATTTAAATGAATTTTACTACAAAGCGCTTTTTGATGCCATTGGTCCACGTAAAATGATTAATATTTTTAAAAATTTTGGTGTAGATAAAGATACTTATTTGACTTTTGATAATTGAGGATTAACCAATATGATTAATGGAGACATTGATATTTTCACACCTTTTTCTTATTGGATTGCAGCACCTATATATGCCCATCGAATTAGTTAATTTTGATAGCGCAGATGTTAGGAACTTTGCACAACCTATTCTTAATGCAGCAGTGGCAAGCACCATCCTCAATCATTATGGCTTTACCTATTGCAACCACCTAAAACAAGATCTCTGTGGTAAATGTTGCTTGGCACAATGTGCTATGGGTACTTTCCAAATTCGTGGTACATATGACTGTGGTCAGTTAATACATTACAACGATTGTGTATTCGGGGGTATTAATTATAAACCCGAAGTCTTAGAAAACATTAAGAATTTTGTCAACTATGCTGATTACTGACACTATGATTATTGTAAAAATAATGAAATCGGTTGGTATAAATTCAGGAGATTGCGTGAATGAATCGACTATCCGATGTACTGGACTTCCAGATGGTTGCGCCTCTTTCGATTGTACTACTCCAGGAGATGAAGGAACGTATGACTGTCCATATGATAATAGTTGCGGTGTGTGATTTTTTTTTCGCTTTTCTTTGGAAAAATCATATTATTACACGAAAGAGACAGAATCAGGAATAAAATTCGGAGTTATGAAACTTAGAATGCATAACCTTTCAAAAGCAAATCACAACATGCAATATAATTCTCAATTATATTATAATATGTCGGGCATTTCATACTTTTGTTAATATTTTATTTATAACATATAGATTTATATATATAAATGTTCCGACTCTAAATTATGATCAAAATGATTTCATTTCATCGAAAATCATTAATTCGATATATTTTTTAAAAAAAAAATTAAAATAAAATAAAAAATATATATTTGTATAATATTATAACTTTATTAAAATAATTTCGATTTCTCTATTTATTTTTTGTTTTCTTTCTCGTCACGATCTTTCCCGGAAGTATAAAACTTATTATTAAATGAGTCTATACATACACATGCACATTTTCGAATTTCTCAAAAACAAACCCGAAATTAGGGATGGTCATTGTTGTCTTTGACCGACCGTTTAAAATTTAACAGTTTTTGGCTCATTTTACTGTGCCAAATACGATAATATTAGGTTTATATTTTGAAATTATTCTAAAATATTATTTAAATTTATGTGGCGCAGCATTACTTTTTTTTTTTTTTTTTTAATAATACATTTAACGTTAATTTATTATTAAAAAAAAAAATTTCTTAATGAAATAATTATTAATTTGATTTATTAAATACAAATAATTCTTAATTACTAATTAAAATATCTAAGCTCTCTATAACGAATCTCGATTTTTTGGACGTTACTATCGAGAAAATGAAAGAATTCGGTAATGTGATACCGAATTTTATTATAATAATATATGATATGTTGCTATTTTTATTATATCTGGAAGGTAATTTTTTAAATAAGCAAACAATATACCCCTGTATTTAAACCAATTAATCATTGTTTTGTATCTTGTTAATATCTTGCTGATTCTTTTAAAAAAATATATAATCATAAATTTTGTGTAATTGAAATATTTCAGAGGTCACTCAATATATAATAGGACGATAACGATTTTACAATATAAAAGCAATGAAATAATTCTCGATTTACGAAGTTATATTTTAATTGGAGTAAATTAAGTGAATGTTTGTTAGGAAGTTTTCATTCTATATGTGAAGAAAAAGATGATGACGTGATGATGGGATTATGACTAATGTGTAGAATGTTTTAAAGATTCGATACTCGTATTTCTTTGAAGTAGACGTATTTATTACATCATTTAATAAGCGGAGTTATTTTGGCCGGCGTTACAGCATTAAGAAATTAGTATTTTGTCATCGAAAAAAATTCTAAGTACAGCACTTTATTATTAAAACCAAAATAATCCAGGGTTGGCCAATAGAATCAATGAACAATAAAATATAGAATATTTTCTTTATTCTTTTATTCTATTGAAAAACTGCACATGTTTTATTAATTTATTTTCACATATTTATTTTAAACCAATAATAAAAGAACTAAATTCTTTATAAATGAATTTATTCTTCTATAAATAACACAAAATTTATAATTATAAACTAAATAATAAAGAAATTGATCAGTAATATATGATGTGTCAGAAAATAAATTAACTAATAACCATTTTATTATAGAATCATTGGCAGATACAAAATTTGCAAAGATATTGCTGGTTGATTTATAAATCTACAACATAATTCGAAATTATATATTTCATCTAATGTTAAATCTATCTAGCATTTAATTGTTATTTTTCAAAATATTTGTAAATTTTCATTTTTATAATCTGAGTCATTCAAAACTTTAAACAGTTCAGATTAATTTAAAAATTTTCATTTTAAATCATTACAATCTGAAATTTTTAGTTAGTTTATTCTAACGAATAATAAAAATATCATTTAATTAAACATTCATTAATGTTTTTTTTCTTCTCTTATTAAAACTGACTGGCTTTCTTTAGATTTTGAAAATCAAATCAATAAATTTAATTCTTTTTTCTTAAAATAGATTAACTTCTTTGAAAATGTTTACTAATATTTTTTTATTCTCTTTTATAAGACTGATCTTTTTAAAATAACATTTATTTTCAAAATCTTTATTAATAAATTCATTAAAAAAAGATTATTTTATATATATATATTTATAAAAATTTTCTTTATACATTATTATATGGATTTTTAATTAATAAAATTTGATATAATAAGATTTTTTTAATATAAAATCTGTACTATATTAAAAATTCATTATATTATAAAATTCATTATATCAAAATTTGTTATACTAAGTTAATTGTATACTAAACTACAATAAATTACTGGATTTTATAAATTTTACTTAATAATATATAGTAAAATTAAAGATTTTTAGATTGCATAAAGTTTATGAATTTTTAATAAAATTCACTTTAAATTTTTT